TCCTTTAAATCACACATAAACCAAGTCTATTGCAAAAATCAGGAGCATCCTGTCTCAAAGTGATGCTAAAAAACTGGTCCATGCATTTGTTAGTTCCAGGCTGGACTACTGTAACTCTTTACTATCAGGATGCCCCAACAGATCTCTAAAAAGCCTCCAGTTAATCCAAAATGCTGCAGCCAGAGTACTGACAGGAACTAGCAAGAGAGATCATATCTCTCCCATATTAGCTTCTCTCCACTGGCTCCCTGTAAAATTCCGAATAGAATTTAAAATCCTTCTCCTAACATACAAAGCCCTTAATGACAAGGCTCCATCGTATCTTAAAGACCTCGTAGAGCCTTATCATCCTAACAGAGCAGTTCGCTCTCAGAGTGCAGGTTTACTTGTGGTTCCTAGAGTCCACAGAAGTAGAATGGGAGGCAGAGCCTTTAGCTATCAAGCTCCTCTCCTATGGAACCAACTCCCAGTCTCAGTTTGGGAGGCGGACACCCTCTCTACCTTTAAGATTAGACTTAAGATGTTCCTTTTTGATAAAGCTTATAGTTAGGGCTGGATCAGGTGACCCTGAGCCTTCCCTTAGTTATGCTGCTATAGGCCTAGGCTGCTGGGGGGCCCCATGATGCTCTGAGTTTCTCTCCCCTCCCCTCCTGCTCTGCTCTCCTCTCCTCTCTCTCCCTATGCTTCTATATGCCACCATTACACATTACTAACTTTGTGTCTCCTTTCTCCCGTAGTGTGTCCTCTCTCTCTCTCCCTGTACCTTTCTACAGGTTGCCCTGGCCCTGGAGCTCTGTGTCTCTGATGAGCAGTCACCAGCCACATCGACCTGATCAGTGTTTGATTGTTGTGTCTTGTTGCTTTTCTTCTTTTGTCTCTCCTCTATCCACTCACCCCAACCGGTCGAGGCAGAAGGCCGCCCACCAAGAGCCGGGGTCTGTCGGAGGTTTCTTCCGTTAAAGGGAGTTTTTCCTCCCCACTGTCGCCAAGTGCTTGCTCAAGGGGGATTTGTTGGGTTTTCCCTATGTAATAATATTGATAACAGTAAGGTCTAGACCTTACTTTGTAAAGTGTCCTGAGATGACTTTTGTTGTGATTTGGCGCTATACAAATAAAATTTGATTTGATTTTTTATTTGATTTGATATACATAATACAATCATATATAATAATAGTTATTTTCATTATCAATTAACTTCCACTTAATTTAATTTAATTTCCACAAATTATGTCAGCTAACAAAAAAGGCCTAAAAATGTTATCACCTTTATTTGGCCAAATATGTTACACACAAGGAATTAGTTACAATAAAAAATTACTAAGATCTAAAAATTATTCAATTATCAAAACAGCAGCTACTTAATTTTGTCAATCAACTAATTAATTAGCTATTGTAGCTCTATAATAAAGCACAGAGGGAACAGCTCAGTGCAGGTTAAAGGAGGGCTATTAAATTGTCAAGCATATTACAGTGGCTGATTTAATAACTGTAATGTATGCCTATGGAAGTATAAGTGAGCACCAGGAAGTTGTATTTTGTAGGAAAAATACAATTCAAACATATCAAATTACACAAACATTTGGACTTGATACTGATGGATATCCTGTAGGGCGTTCGATCAGAAGTACACTGTAAGGAACTGATTAAAAAAAAAACAGCAGACACTATAGAAACAGTACTTAGCATTGGTACAGTAGAGCTCAAGTGACTGGTTAATAAAGCTGATCTATACAAAATTAACTTGAAATAATTTTGATAACTGATAAAAATGTGTCACATTTAAAGCAAAAATTCTAAATATCTGCTAGTATTAGCTTCTGAAATGTGATTATTTTCTGCTTTATATCACTGTAAATAGATTTTGGTTTATTGAGTGGGAAACACAGGCCATTTAATTATATGACATTTTACAGACAAAGCAATATATTTATAAAACTAATCAATAGTTGCAAGCCTTCTACACACTATACTTATATTTTTCTGTCAATCTAATACCACTATACAGCATCAGCATCACTGCCAGTGCATCTGCAGCCTTCTCTGTTGAGCCTAAGTGTGAATGAGAGCAAGATGAAGGAGAACCGGTGTCAGGCTGAGACTGCTACAGGCTGACACCATTCTCCTGATGCTGACCAACAGCAGGCATGTAAACAAAAAGTAATGGACTCAAAAAAGACCCCTTCTGAAAACAGATATCCGAGACTTGGACAAAGCGCAAGCTCACTGACAGAGACAGTCAAACAGCTTATTTCATTTCAGCCACAGAAAAGAAGCTGATCAGTGAAATCAGCTGCTTCAGCACTTGGATGAAAGCTGCATTCTAACAGTGGGGACAGAGCGCCTGTTTAAGGGAGCACAACATTTTCATAGGGCTATTAATGTAATAATATATAATAGTGTAGCAGTACAGCATATATAGTATAACATTTTTCTGCCTGTTTAAGGGAACACAACATTTTCATAGGGCTGCAACTAACTGTTATTTTCAGTATTGAGTTTATAAAAGTTGTATTATTACAATTTTATAAAAACAATTGGGAATAAATAGTGACATGAAACTGTCAATACCAACATAATATTACTGATTAGGAGTTCAATAATTGTCTGTTTGTGTGCTAACCTTTGACATACATATGGGCTATTAATGTAATAAGATAATATATATTAGTGTAGCAGTGCCGCATATATAGTATAACATTTTTCTGCAGAGTAGCCTACTTCTACTTTTAATATATTTGTGTGATAATACTTCATTTTACTTAACATTTTCACTGCAGAACTTTTACTGGTAACAGACTACTTTTACAGTGTGATAATAGTACTTACTTATGTCAAGAATGTGAATACTTCCTCTACTACTGGTACTAACATACAAACTAACATGCTTTAGTTATACAACATGTTACAGTTACTTTTTTATCATAATCAGCTTATTCTTTAGGGTCAATCTAGCTCTACAATCCAGCTCAATCAACAGTTACAGTCATTTGCACTTAAAAAAAGACCCTCTGAGGGTCACTGTAGCTGATAATAATAATGGTAATTGTGTAATAATGTTTACAGTGAAACTGTGATGTTTTCTGAGACATTATCTTGTCATGAAAGTCTCATATCGTTGCAACCTACTCGTAATATCTGCAGGGAAACATTAACAACACTAATGACATCCCAGCAGCCAAACTATAAGACTATTTTACTGCATGCTTTCTTTGCCAACATGGTTGAAATACCTCAGCAGCAACCTCATAAATACTTCACATGCTTTGTTTTATGAAATGACACCTAATGCTCAACATACATTACTGAGTTCCTGAGGTGTGCCACAGTGCCAGTGAGATATACAACAGGTCTGGCTGATGCAACCGGCACTACATGTTTTTCAAGCCTTGGCTGGGCTCCAATCACTACCTCCATCAGAGGCAGGGAGCGTCACAGAAACAACTGGGTGACCAAAGATTTCCTTTATTATATCCAAGTGCAAAAGTAAAACAGCTGAGCTGCCTCTTCCAGGTTTGGTATGACAAAAACTCAGAGCACTGGCGTCACCACATTCCATACAGAGCATCATCAGTGATCTGTGCTGTTTATATTTGTATTGGCTACAATCTAATGAGTAAAAGTCATTTTCCTCTTCAAATAGTATTGTATGTAAACACTAGGTTATGGCTAGGTTTTGCAGAATCCTTTAATAAGACAAAATGTCAATTATTTTCTAGTTTTAACTTCCCAAATATGATAAATTAGCTTTTCTCAGTTTTATCCAATAGTAAATTAAATGGATTTTGGACTGTTGGTAGAAAAAAAAAACTAAATTTAAACACGTCATCTTGGACTTTTTTTTTTTTACTTGCCGTGAAAAAAAAATAAGTTAGTTTATACGGAAAATAATTATTATCCCTTATTGGGGACACAGTTTGGTTTAAACAGGCTTCAGCACAACACTGTAACTCTATAATGAGATTTTAAACCTATTTTTAAATGTAGATGTAGAACAGCAATGATTAGTCAGTTAATCAATTAGTTGACTGACAGAAACTTTATCAAGCATTTTGATAATCAATTCATTGTTTCAGTCATTTTTCAAGCTAAAAAGGGCAAACATTTGTAGGTAACAGTTTCTGAAAAGTGACCATTCGAGTCTTTCCTTCATCATATATGATGTTAAAATAAATATCTTTTGGTTTTGGACTGATGGTAGAACCTAGCAAGCTGTAACCTAACAAGATGGGATATGTACATGCACAGTGAGAGCATGGTGTCCAACAGACCTGGCCAATAAGCTGATTTCACTACTTTCTAATACAGATCAAATAATTAATCGCAAAAATAACAGTTAGCTCAATCAATAAACAAATCTAACTTGGTGCTCCTGTTATATGTGGTTCGCAATTTTGTTGCCTAAAGTTAACAGGCTGTTTTAAATACAAGGTGAAAATGAGGATTAAGCAACACAACGTCACTTGGTTTTCGATACCTCGTCGGTTTCTGTGAGAGTATCGATACCTCTAAGTGGTATAAAATCCAACCTTTAAACGCCCCTAACGTGCTGAACCTGGCAAGGGGCCATTAATGCTACTCAATCAATAACAATGAACCATATTAGTGATCAAACTTATATCAAACCGAGTTACTGAGAGATACTGAAACTTATAACCATTACTAGCGATTGTTATCTACCTGAGCTGACAAACTAGCTCAAAACTGTCAAAACTGAGCTTTAAGCACGAGTCAACAACTAATTTAGGCTGCATTTAAACTACTTGACAATCCCTATGTAGAGTTGACACGTTTTTAAACCTGGTTTCACCTGGCAACGTGTCTGGAGAGTTTCACCTGACTGTCTGCTAAGTCAAGTTTTCCTAAACCTGGCTCCCAAAATTAGCAAGCCGTTAGCGGCTAGTGTTAGCCAACTGGTTAGCGATCTTTCCAAGTATAAAATTCCTACGAGTTAGCCTAATAACAAGATCAATGGTGTGCTGGGATGTTCGGTGCCTTCTTACCCTTTATAATAAGCCTTCACCCGGACTTGGTGGGAATTTTCGCCGGGATGGGACATGGTGCTGTCCCGCAACGTCGGCATCATAACCTCAGCCACGGACAGTCCGACTCACCGATGCCTGCCTTCCTTACTTTCCTCTTTGACTCTGTAGTTGTATACCACAACCAAAACACTATGTTTCCTAGTCCGTTCACACACCAAGCACAGAGATGATAAATGATACTAAAAACGAAAAAGTTTGTGCTCCTCGGACCAACACAAATAACATACAAAGTAAAGGAAAACTTGAGGGTCCGCCGAACACCTCCCTGCTGCAAAGGCCTAACGACGGACAAGTCCATTGTCGGCATTCTTGGGGTTGCCAATAACTTGGCATCTTACAAACATGTATTCTCACATTTAATTGTGGGTTAATAACTATTAGAATAAAACATTAAAATGTGCATATTCATACATATTTTGAGCTAACATGATTTAACAAACCAGTGTAACATGGCTTACATCAAGTTGACTTCCGACTGTACCAACTTTCTATGTGGGTACGTGCTGCATTCAAGTTCAAATATCTGTGCTCGGACATTACACCTCCCGAGATATGTCGTGCATTCATGTGCTGTGATTCGGAAATTACAAAATTAATCAGTAACAAAAGCATTGAAATTTACCTTCGCCAAGGGCGGGGGTTATGTTTTTGCCAGTGTTTATAAGAGCAGAAACAAATCTGAGAGGGAAGACATGAATCGTGGGATTAAGTCTTCAAATCTGATTCTGGCTTGTAGTCATGCTCTCATGCTGAGTTACTAACTGAGTAGCACTCAAAATCTGGTTAATGCACTCTCAAACCCTATGGTGGGGATTTACTTCCATAGACTTACTTTCATATCTCAATTTTACCCCTAAACCAACGAGTGAATGTCTATCATGTCTATGGTTTTTCTTCAGTAACTTATACTAATAACGGTATGCCATTCCAAATACCAGCAGTAGGTTTTCATGATCATACAATCATATTATGAGGACCAAACTATCACGGGAATATTGCTTTTATTGCATTATGGGGAAATTGAGTTGCCCCTTGGCAGAAGTTTGTGCTCACTGAGTGCTGTAAGTTTCCATTTATTTTAGAAGAGTGTGAGCTGTACGTGCTGCTGTCAACTGGCATATGATTAATAAATGAAAAGAAAGAAAAAAAATTGAATTCAATACAACATAAAGCTTCATTAGCACATAAACGTAAAATAAACCAAATCTCTGTTGCTGTCAGTTACTGCTAAGGCTCCCTACGGCTTCGCTTGCCCGTAAACATATCACAGAATGGACATTACTGGAGATTCAGAGCTAAAAACTGTAGACTATTTTTCAATTCACTACATTTAGCTTTGCAGATTATGTTTTTCATAGAATACGATCGACTTATGCAATGCAACACTGTATAAAACAGTTAAAATGAGTCATTAGAGGGTCTAAAGGCGTCGGTAATAATGGGATAATCAAATAATTGTTTATGCAATAATATAACACTCACACTCTGCCCAGTAGCCTACTTTTACTTTGATACATTCAGTTCATTTTGCTGGTAATATTTTGTACCTATACCTTAGAAACATTTTTAAGACAAGACTTTACTGTTACTAAGAATTTATTTATTTGTGTGTGTTTTTTTACTTAAGTAAAAGTCAGCAGCATTTCTGTACAGGACAAATGTCCTTTTGTTTTATTTCGTAATAAATTAAACTAACCTTTCTCTTGGGTAATACATAAGGGCACTGCCTGCTAAAAAAAAAGAACATCTCAAGCAAGTGAAGGGATCATCATTGTTTTACTGTTTGCTGTCCTTAGGTTTGTCGGGGGCTCGGTAGGGGATGGGTGCTGCAGCACGATCATTCTCCTAAACAGAAGTAAATCTACTATAAAATGACTTCAGACAAAGAGAATAGTCCTTTGAGTGGCCCAGTCAGAGCCCAGAGCTTAACCCAGTAGAGATGGAACAGATAGCACGAGTGAACAGCTAATTACTCTTTAATATTTTGCAGGTCTTAAATAGCCTAAAAGTTACTGAAAAAGGATGCAAACACATTTTAAAGCATCAGCCATTTCCGGGACGCTCCATGCAGTGCGCACAGCTGTGTGGTCCTCCCGCACTGTGAGCGGTGCTGTGCCGAGGCTTTTTTTATTACCTGCTGTGTGGCGTCTGTTTTTTTTTTATCTCCATTCAGACAGTACTGACGCATCAGTAGACTTCATGACAATGTGCAAGGGTATGGTCAGTTCCTGATGGCCCATGTCTATCAATCCCAGGCAGGTAACGCCGACACGAGGTGAATGATTGTGCATGCATAAAGCGCTGTCTGAGCGGTGGGATGCAAACCGACAGGGAATACAGACTGATTTACTGATTGTATTCTCCGATAGATCCTAAATTATGGGCATTATAGGCCTATTTATGACAAGGCTGATTTTGTAATGTTTGGGGTTGATCGAGAATATCCTACCTGCTTTTAATTGGACAGAACCGGACACCGGGTCTGCAGCAACGTACAATCAATATTGAAGCTGCTAAATGCGTAAACCACAAGTGTTTATTCTTCTGAAATATTGCATAAGAATTCTATAATTTAATGCTATATATTTGAGATTATTAAATTATTATTATTATGCAGCTCTCTTAATAATTTATAGCTGCCTATATCAGCAACTGAAAGAAAAACAGCATTGTAACACCTTTGTTAGATGTTTGTCTAGTTACAGATGGCACAAAATAGTAATTATTCATATGAATCATAGGCTACATATTCTTCGTAACAATGTTTTCACAACATCTACAAATTTCAAATCCATCTATGTTTTTCTTCATGTTATCATCATTTGTTTCTATCTTGCAATATTTGATAAAGGTATATTTTCATGAAACATTTAGGCTTTCTGTGCTATTCAACTGACCAAGATCATACAAAAATTAAGATTCATCAAAAACCAACAATTCAGTTTATTTAATAGATTAAAAATATGACGTTTTATACAAATGGGAAAGGAAAGCAGAATGGATAGTTGGGTAACTTTTGATCATAGCATTTATTGACCAATGAAACACATGCATTGTGCCATTTTATTTTAGTGCTGTGAAGTGAATGATCAATTCTATTAAATATTTAGGCTATTCATTAAAACTGAATTGAAATGAATGACATAAAGCATGGTTTCTCCATTTATGTTGAAATAATACATGAGCCATTTCGGTCAGGCTGCCTACACAAAATTATTTAACTGCGGTTTTTAAATACACCAAATACAAGATTCTTTAATTGAAGCAGATCGGAAAGGGTGACATTCATGCTGTAGTGAAATCTCTGAAATGAATTCATATGTTTTAAAGCAAGAACTGCAAGATATCAATTATTTCTGAATTAAAGTATAACAGGCTATTTAGTCAAGATTCCCAGAAGCATGTATCCTTGAGGTTTGCTGGAGTGTATTTCTGTTTTAAAGAATTGGGTGTAGATAGGTCTAATCACATTTTTAACACATAGGGAACACACATGCAACCTCAGACCTGTATTAAAGTGACATACATTAACCTTTTTTGCAGGGTGTTTTGTATTACACTAGCATGTATTTGGTATTAAAGCTCCAGCAGGCATTACATCCCTTCTCAAGACTCAGATAACTAAAGGCTTTTGCAGCAAACAGAAGAAACCGCTAAACGATAAAACACCTAAACATCATTCAACTGAATCTGATTCAGATGAAATTGATATTTTACCTCCTGTTAATTTATGTCTTCTTTATCCTCTCAGTTGTCCCTTTACTGAATCTGTGCATGACCTGGGAGATGGAGAGGCAGAGCCCAGGAGAGAAGCAGGCAGACACTAATAGGACTGAAGCCACCACCCCCACCACATCAGCTGCCATCACCATGGCAACAGTCAGGCCCAGCAGCACCTGCACCCAGGCACCCTGCACTTCCCTCAGCATCATACCACCAGACAGACAAGCAGTCCAGGTAATAGACAGTACTACGGTTCTTTGCACTAAAAGGTAACAGGCAACAGGCAGTACCATGGACCTCAACATGCATGGATTTACTTAACTGTCAGGCAGTCCAGGCATCAAGGATGGAGCATTGAATGGACATATCAGGCACAGGCCCAGGGGCCCAAGGGGTCAACCAGCCCCTAGAAACATGAAGGGACTATTGCATTTTCTGTTAGAAATTCAATTAAATGACTACAAAACAAATAAAAAGCCCCAAATATAAATAAGGGCAAACTGAAGAAATTTCAAAAGATAACGACAGTATTGTTGTGGCACGTAGAGTGAGCTGAAAATTATTATTTTTTATTTGTAAAGCAGATTATGTTTTTGTGATATGATCCAAAGGTGATCCAACATGCCATCCATAGACCTCAGAGCATGGCAGCTCAGTACTTGCACCAGATGTATGCAGCTCAGCAGCAGCACCTCATGCTGCAGACAGCAGCCCTGCAGCAGCACCAGCACCCTCCCCATCTGCAGAGTCTGGCCACCATACAGCAGGTCATATTGTGTGTGTGTTTGTTGTGTGTTGGGGGGGGGTTGAGTAATTTTAACATGGAAAACAAGGTATCATGTGTTCTCAATACTTTTCAGGCCTCATTGTGTTCTCAATACTTTTCAGGCCTCATTGTGCCAGAGGCAGTCTCCTTCTTCATCCACTGGCAGTTTGGTTCAACCTGCTGGTGTTTCCCAAAACTCTGTAAGTATCTGTGTTACCACTTTCATCACCCTGAACCCTGCTAAGCACAAATATTAACCTCAGCCTCTTTCTTTCTACATTCTTCATCATGCTACCCAAAATCCAGATTACTTTACCAGTATCACCAGTGACAGCCCAGCTGATTGGCCAAACTCAAACATCCAACTCCACTGCTGCTGCAACTACCATATCCCAGCAGGCCATGCTTCTGGGAAACAGACCGGTCAACTGTAACCAAGCTCAGATGTACCTTCGAACTCAGATGGTACAAACTTTTTCAGATATATATCAAACTCCTCCTGGCCATACTTTAAAACTGCATGACTCATTTGATCTGTGCTATTTTTACTGAACGCGATTTCTCCTGTCAGCTTATTCTAACACCCGCAGCCACCGTGGCTGCAGTTCAGTCAGACCTCCCTGCTATCACCTCCTGCTCCTCTCTGCCTACCTCTTCTCAGGTACAAACCTTGCCAGACATAAAATGAGTTGTGCATACCACAAGACTGAAGTATTACAGACAGAGGACAAATTAAAGGAAAACCTGATGGGAGTGGTTGCTTCCAGGATGGCAGTCCCCAATGTTCTAGTTTCACATGGTGGCCCAATGCCTTACTAAGACAATTTAAGGCCAATGGTTCTTCCTTTAATTTGTCTCACATCTGTATAAACCTGTTACAAACCTATAGCATGAGCCACATTTCAAAATGGCACTATTTGGAATTTTGATGCATGTTAGTGGAGTTATCCATAAAGCTTTGCAAAAGTAATATTATCTGTGTTGCATGGTGTTGCAGGGCTGTTCACCCCACAACCTAAGGCTTTTATGAACAGCATGAAAGTGGCTTTTTTTGGCAAATATTTTCAGGTGCAGAATCTAGCTCTGCGTGCCCACTTGCCTGGTGCTCTGACTACTGCCCACAGTGTAATCCTAAAGCCATCTGCCCAGTCCCAAGCTCTGACTCCAGCTGCCTCTTTGTCCAAGACTTCAATCTCTTCTCTGAAGACCAACCAGCTGACTGACACCTCAACAGAAACAGGGCTGACCAGTGTCCCACGACTGGCCTCGGGACCCCAGATTATAACTCCAGGTGAACTAAAGTGTTCAAATACTGAGACTGAAATGAAGGTTACTAGAGAGTCCATATGTTTTATATCATTTATGGCAAATTCACTGAATGCCCTTTAATGTGATGAAGAAACTGAATGTTACTACCTTTTATCATATATGTTGCCTCTATGCGACACTGTGACAGTTATTTTCAAGTCTGAAAAAGAGGTACAGTACTTGATTTGTGTAATTGTTAGTGTTTCTGTTTATTGCCCTTCTTGCAGCCTACTGCCCAGTGCAGGCCCACGCACTGGTCAAGCAACAGTTCTCCAGTCCACCAGGCCAGCGTGTGGCGCACCACCAGCTCATCCTCCAGCAGGCTACAGGAGCACCTCCTAACCCCAGACAGCGCCAGCCCATCGCTCTCAGAATAGCACCACAAGAAACCAACTCCAGCCCTCTTCCTCTTTCATTTAAAAAAGTGGCCACTCCCAGCACCCAGTCTCAAATCAACAATGACCACCAGACCTCTTCATCTTCTAAATCTGTGACAAGTGTATTTGCGCCATCAAATCACACCCCAGTCCCAGCTGCCACTGTTCAGCCTCAACCTCAGCCCCCTCCTCTGGTGGCCGCTCCGCAGCGTCGGACCTCATTCCCACTAGTGCAGAACAAACCTCCGCCTCCCCCTCCACCTCTGGTTCTCACCAGGCTGCCCCAGAACCCGGCAGCCTCCATCCACAGGCTGTCCATGCATTCAGTCCAGGCTTTGGCCATCCACTCAGGACAAGCGCTGCTGACAGAGCAGGAGCTGCCTGTAGCGGAGGCCTTGGTCCAGATGCCCTACCAGAACCTGCCTCCTCCTCAGACTGTGGCTGTCGATCTGAAAGTGCATCCGATCAGACACAATAAAACTCCATCGGTGAGTCATCATGTCATCTTTGCACATCTTCTGTTTGCATTATGTGCTGGTTTGACCGAGGTTTTGTTGTGGTTTGAATTTCAGTTGGAGGAAACATGCAAAGTGAATGGAGTGAGCTCAGAGGAGAGGAAAGATGAACTTTCTCCAAGTCCACAGACACAAGAGACCCCTACACCTCTCATTGTGCCTACTAAGCAAAATGGTATTGGTAAAACACAATAATGAAAAAATAAATAGAAAAGAAAAGAATGCAGTCCAGTACAACTCAAACCCTTCTCGCCAGCCAGATGGGTGATACCTAACGGTGGCTCAGAGAAGCAGGGCTTATTGTGAAAAGCCTGTCTCGAAATACAGTAACATAAAAGTCTGACGATGGATCAGTCTGTCTCATAAAACTGGTTTGAGGCTAAAGGAAGCTGACAACTTATTTTATAGGAAGACAATAAGATATTTTTTATTAACGTGCTGTACTAGTTGGATTATGTTACTTATTTGTAACAGCCTCCATATGCCTTAAATAATGTTTAAATCATTTCAGATTGGCCATGTGCCATTTTATGTAATTTTAGTAAATTGATTTCTGGGTGTATATCTCTCTAATTTTCATCAATGACATTTAAACTGAGAACAAATAGCCCAAGTAATTTTTACTGTAAGGCTACAGCTATGGGGTAAAGTTGTTTGTTAACTTTATATTTAATAGCAGCAAATTTAAATATATAGGCCTGCAGTATGGTGATGACAATACTGTGCGGATACTTGAGACTCAAATATATATGACCTTAGATTTTAACTAGGAAATTAGGGGCATCCCATGTCACTGGGCGATGCACATTTTTCATGGACTGCAAACATGTTCCCAGTGCTGAAGTAAAGAGGAACCTTCAGGGTGAAACTTAGGAGAAATCCCTGTGTTTCAGTCTGTTTGACTGCAACATTGGTTCGGTCTGAGGTGAAGCTAGAAAACTAGACTAATTAGGACCAGGTTAGTCTGTAGGGATAAGTTTTACATGGTAACTTAGGTTGCAGTCATTTAAATCTTCTTTTTCAAAATGAAGCTTGTATTACTAAAATAATCCTGGTTTAACTGTTTGAGAAATAGTGCTCACCTCTGCTGTGTTTTATGCTTCTTATTGTCCAGCAGGGGTGGGTTCATCCTCTGTCATATCCAGCCATTCAATGATCAGATCGCCTCAGGTTGAGGAGCCCTCCCAGCTCACCACCACCAGCAGCAGCAGCCACAACAACAGCAACCATCCTCCTCCAACGTCTCCCCTACGTTCTCCCATCCTCCCTGCTGCAGTACGAGCCGCTAGCCAGCCTCCCTCTGCCCCAGCCTGCCTCCCAGGAAGCCCCGACAGGATACTTACAAACCACGTCCTCACACACCTCATAGAGGGCTTTGTGATCCAAGAGGGCCTGAAGCCGTTCCCGGTATGTCCACAACACAAGCAGTCATTCAGGGCAGTGGGGAGCCTAAGGTAGGAGAGGATGTAGTTAAACTTACAGCTCACCCTAAAACCTTTTAAATCTACCAACAGGTCACAAATGAAAGGACAAATCAAGATAAAATGAATAAATAAATAAATAAATAAGTCTAACCTCATGCCATCAAAGATTTTTTATTGTCAATTCAACATATGTGCAGGACATACAGAAAAATCGAAATACTGTTTCTCTCTCACCTAATGTTGAATGCCCATACCAGTTAAGAAACTAAAATAGAATAAAAGGAGAATAAACAGAATAAAAAAAATTAAAACTGAATAATAAGGATAAACTAAGTCATACAACCTAATAGGCTATGATCATAACACTCTAATCAAATTAATATAATCCAATAACAAATGAACTACACTAATATCTTCATGTTACTTTTTAAATGCACCCTGTGATGCAGGTGGGCCCTTCCTCATTGTTAGCGGACCAGCATGCTTCACTTCCAGAGCCCCAGGACATTCAGACCAACGGGACTGCAACAGCAGAGGACAGTCCTCTGGACGCCGAGCAGTCAGATTCAACAGAGTCAGAGATGGAAAACGATGGCCCTGCAACAGATGGTCAGGATTCAGCGTGTGTTTGTGTGTGTGTGTGGGTGCATGTGCATGTGTGACTAACAGCTGGTCCTCTGAAGTTGCAGAGCTTGGGGAGAGTGTGGCAGGTGTGCTGCAGTGTGAATACTGTGGGAGCAGAGGTTACGCTCACACGTTTCTGCGCTCCAAGCGCTTCTGCTCCATGACATGTGTCAGAAGGTAAATAAACCACTGACACTCAACTAACCACCACAACTAGTATTAAGCACCAGTCCAGTCCTGAAAATGGGCAATTGTAGATACAGTAAAATGATATTGTAGTTGAGGCTAAACTGATGTTAAGTTAGATGAACATTTATTTCCTTTTCTTGGGCTGATTAAAACTTCCAATTTTCCAACAACAACAATTGGATGATTGTAATAGTGTATTCGTCTGTGCCACTGACTTCAAAAACTATTAGAAACACACTGGTGAGTCACATTGTTGCACTGGCTAACATGTTCCTCGTTACAATAAACAAGGCCACTGTAGTTTCTTTTGGCTCAAACCAACAGATGCCGTCCTGCTGCCAAAAATACTCACTAGAGCACTACATGTGTATTAATCCCCTGCTGATAATTGTCCACAACAAATACACAAGTTACTAATGTTTGCCAAAATCTTCACTGCTCAGTTGTCTTAAGAAGCTACTAAGCCTTTTTTAAAATAAATGAAACAACACTGTATATTTGTGACCCATTTTTAAAAATGTTCATTTTTAATATGAAATAACAGGCTTTAAAAAATATGTACTGTATAATGTTAGTTTTGTCTTCCGTACAAGGCAAGTACACTAAAACTGCAGCCTGTTTCTGTGGGGGTGAGACATCATCTAACATCTGGAGTCAATCAAGCTCCATCTGAGCTGTAAGAACAAGTATGAAGTGTGTAATCACACCCAGGTTTCCCTCTGAGTCTCCATCAGGAAGAGGACAGATGCAGACCATCTGAGCCAGTACTCAGTGGCTAATTCTACTTGTCTGCACATAGTACAAATCTAATTTAATATTTTGTGACTGACTCTCTGTGCTTAGGTTCAGTGTGAGCTGCACCAAGCGTATCACCACGCTGAGAGCAGTTCACTGGGGTCACAGGCCAATGGGCAGGAGAGGACGGCCCCCCGGCAGAGTCAACGGAGCCTCCAGAGAACACGTTCTAAGACAGGTCAGTTGATATTATTGACCTGATAAGAACTGCAAAATGCAGAAGTGCTGCAGGGATAGGTGGTCCTGGAGGGCACGCCGCTCCTCTGGGGAACAGTTACATATGACAGAAACAAAGCTTCTGATGAGGCTATATTTACAAAATTGCACCTAACAGCATAAAGTTTCAAAAAGACAGGAAGTCCTGGATTCTTTCTTTTAATCCTGTCATAAACCCCAGTGTCTTAAACAGCAGGTGACACTACTGTGGATGTACTTGTTTCAGTTGTTTGTCATTATTTGGTCTTCTTGGCTAATGGTACTCACAGTCACCATGCTAACATTATCATTAGCCGCACCAGAGCTGTGATGTAAATTTAGTCCCAGAAAACCTGGATGCATTATTTCCTTTTAAATGAAACATTTATTTTGAAAATATTATTCAACCATTACATTAAATGTGGATAAAACTATAGCTTTCATGTGTAGGAACCTTCTTATCCGAGACTCTAAAAATCACCAGTAAGATTTGTCTAATTGTCCTTGTGCTCCACAGGCTCGTGGGTCACTCGGCTCAGAGGAGACCCAACAGAGCTCACTGAGAGAGGAGGAAGAGGAGGAGCAGCAGGAGGAGGAGGAAGAGGAACCTCCCGTTCCCATGACGACCAGGCTCAGGAAGCAGGCCGAGAGGGAGCGGGAGAGGGAGAGAGAGCAGAGGACAACAGCAACAATCAGTGTTTCTGATGGAGAAGAAGTTGTCGACTGTCCATCCCAATGGAATGTAGAACAAGTGTTCTCTTACATCAGCTCCCTGCCAGGTAGTGAGCTTCTCGACTTAAACTTTATTTATACAGCACTGCTTTTATAGAGTTCCTAGTCAGGTGCTTGGATGTTTTTTTGCAAATATCTGTCAACGAAATACATAAAAATAATCAATGTTTAACCAGTTTGTATCTTCTCTTTTCTACAGGTGGTCAGGACGTAGCCAAGAAGTTTCGTTCCCAGGAAATCGATGGACAGGCCCTGCTGCTTCTCACAGAGGACCACCTGGTCAGCACCATGAACCTTAAACTGGGGCCTGCACTGAAACTCTGTGCCCACATCAATTCTTTAAAAGATGTATAAAAGACCGGGAGGAAGAAAAACCCAACGATTTTTTAAAAACTCTGCACATCTGCAGAGACAGTAAGGAAACACTGCTCATGATGGAGCTGTCTGGCTCATCTGTGGACTCGCACAAAGACACAGCAGATCATGCTCAAAGCACAGATGACAGATTCATTCCATGAGACCACTTTGGCTCCAGTTATCCATTTGTTTCAAAATGGTTTTAAAAATTGTTTGTATCATTTGTAAACAAAGAGAACAACCGAACATTTTGAATATCACACATAAGCAACGCTGTACAATCTCACAGTTTACAAAGCAGATGATTGTCTGCTATCTTGGGAGTGAAATTTGATACATTTAAGATCAGCAAACAGTTTTAATGAATCAAGAAAAGCCGTCTAATTACAAGGTTATTTATTATTTGTTACTGTCATAATTAAAATACAAATAAAACCATAAAATTATTGGTTTATGTTTATTCTCTTGGTATAGATTTTGTGAAAAGTGCCAAAACATAATTTTTACTCCATATGTTTTACTGACAAGCACATTATCTGAATTGTGTTTGCTAATTTTGTATGATGAGAATATTTTTCCTTTTGGAAGTAAGATTTTAAATGCATTCGATTTACCTGTGATGGAGTAATGCTACTATTATTAAAGGATCTGAATACTTCTGTCAGCTTGACTGACGGAGGCTTTAGGTTTGTGACAGAGAGTTTATTGTTAAACAGGGGATGCCCATGTCATGACACCGAGGTAAAATGGTACAAATAGATTCCCCACCACAAAGCAGCTTGTTGCCTTTATACAAACCTACTAGAGGAATTTAGGCAGAAGAGACCCCTAGCAGTGGGTGTTACCAATATTATAGAAAGTCCTAAATATCTGCATAAACCTGCCGAGTACTGCCATTATTTCTCTTAACAAAGTAAAAACTAATACATGTGAGTAACTGCATAAAAGAGTAGACTTAAGTCACTAAGTTTGCATTGTGAATGCTACTGACTTAGCTCTCCTTTCCATCCAGGTAGGATGGCCAGTCCCCCTCGGCAACAACCAATCACCACCCGTAATCCCAACATTAAATGAATATTCTAAATGTTCAATTACTACAATAAAATCTACACATAAATATCAGTGTGCAATTATTCATTCAACATACAGTGTGTTATTTCAATCAACACTAATGTGGCATGGTAAAATAATGGAACACCTGGTCTTCATTACAACTTCTTCCGACACTGCAGCTGCAGAAAAGAGAAGCTTCCCTCCCTCCTCAGTTTTACCTTTATGAGATAAATGTAAGCTGTCACAGCAGTGTCTCTTTACATCTCATGTATTTTTGTTATAACACCACCAGAGGGCCATCTTCATACTAGCGCTTGTTGTTGCAGTTTGTGTGGTGGATAAATATTTTAACTGTAATAACTACAACAGTGAGATTAATCCCAGTTCACACAATAACAATACATAAGACTTTACAGTGATAACTTTGTTTATTGGAAATGTTTTTACAGCTTTCTCACCTTAGTGTTAGATTAAAATATATTTTGGACTTATAATTTTTTAAGTGCAAAGGAGTACTTTCCCTTTTTTTTTAATTCTACTGACTACATCATATACTTTGCATGTTACACATGGGGAATGTGCTGCTTGGATGTGACATTATCGATGGAATGTTTCAAGTGCGGGGAGCTACAGTTTACAGGGAGGGTTTCCATGCATACTATTTGGTTTACAAGGCTACTGTGCGAACATAGTCATGTGTTTGACACTGAAATGTCATTAATGATGACAGATAAGTGCTCGCAGAAGCTATGACGTTGATGAGTTTACAGGCACTGCAAAAATGAGTTTATACATTCAGAATCTGATCACGCTTTATTTTACAAATATGTCAATAGGTACTGATTAATTTCACAGTAATTCCCTAAGAGGCTTCCTGGAAAGAACCATGTAATTTTATAGTAATCACAGTTAAACTAGAGAGTCCTGGTTGGGCCACTTTCAGTTAATTTCAAGGACTATGCTAGGGTAACGCCAAGACTTCGTCACCGGACAGCAGCTGGGCTTAACATACAAAATGTGAAATGTGTCTACAAACAAACCCAATTCAGCAGATACAAATATCAGTTTCCAGTCATACGTGACAATAAATACTTACAGGGGATTAAAAAGAGCAATATACTTCATGAAGATTCCTCTGCATATTACAGTTGATTTAACTTACGCAGCAGTTGAGCTTCTCAACAAGAAGGGTCCTGGTTTGAACCTCATGGCCAACTGAGGCCTTCATATGCAGAGTTTACATGTTCTGCCTGTGTGGGTTTTCTCCTGGTACACCAGCTTCCTTCTACAGTCCAAAAACATGCAGGATCGGTTAACTGGTGTCTCTGTATTTACTGTTGGTGTGAACGGTTGTCTGTCTCTATGGGTCAGTCCTGTGACAGACTGGTGGTGACCTGTCCAAAAAGAACAGCTCAGAATGTCTTTATTTCCCCTGTAGTTATGACCCGATCACATGGTTCTTTCCAGGAAACATTTCATAAATTACTAGAAATTAACAGACTTGTAAAATAAAGTATTAGTGTAAATCTTCTATGCTGAGGGTTGTGTTTATTGCATCCTTTATAACATATATGTAAGAAATTTAATGTCAGGTGCAATCAAATATGAGATGCGCATTACCAAAAAAATAAATACCCCTGAATTCTGTGCAAACCTGACACTGTATAAAAGCTGTGTACTGTATTGACATCTGTGCCTTCTAAAGCTTCTAAAAACATAACCAGGCTAAGAAAAATAAAGGTTTTATATCTGAAATACTGGAAACTACAAAAAATGCCAACATGGTTTGCAAATAATCTTTGTCCACTATGATTTACAGTACATAAACTCTCAACTCATACATTTATTTATAAAAACATAGGAATGAGCCTATTCTTCAGGGAACGGGTTCAGTATATTGCTTCTTGCTGGTTCTCTCAAGCATGACATAAAAAGGGTGGAACATTTTTTTTCCCCAACAGGCAGCAGCATAGCTTGTGATGAAAACGGACTCACTCAAACTCTGCTGTGTAGCACACATGCAGAGAAGACGTGCAGGAGGAATCTTGATGAAAATGTCACTGTTGCCAGCTCAGGGCATGCTGCCAGAGCCAAAGCCATCCTTCTCTGCAGGTATGGACTTGACCAGCTCCTCCACCCAGCGGACCTCAGTGGCCACCTGCTCAGCCAGAACCTCATAACGGTTTTCCAGGCGCCCAAACTTGCGCTTGAGGATGTTGGCGGCCTGCATGGCGACCCGGGCGTCCTCCTGGCATTTCTTGCGCTGAGCCTGAGTACGTTGTAGCTCCTGGCGAATGTGGCTCAGGTCACTTGAGATGCTCTGGTTCTCCTCCTTGTACCAGCCTTCCTTCTCTTCATAGATGGACAGCAGTGCTGCTACGTCTTCTCGGCATGAACGCTGATTGCGCTCCAACTCCTTCAGGCCTTCCTCTGCTGCTGCAATCTCTTCAAGCACCTGGGAGAAGCGCTCAAAGTTGACGTAGGTGTTGTTAGGTGGCATGCTGGAGTGGGACTTGATAGTGTACTCCTTCAGACGAGTGGTCTTCAGGCGCCTGCGCTCAGGCTTGTGGTCCCTCTCCTCCTGGCGCACGTTACGCCTCTTAATCACCTGGACAGGAAAAAAAGTAAAGGTCTGAAATAAAAATTATAATTTTTATATCATAATTTGAGGCATCTTGGATTTTAGGGCTAATGCTAATATTTATATTTGAGAGGCAATATTAATTTTTCACATGAAGACAAACACTTTTGACAGGGATTTCTTATATTACCTGTGTTAAAGATTTGTGACAAAGGCATGTACTGATGAGCATGCTGTGCAGTTAAACAATACTCTCTGTCAGTGCACTCTGGTGGAAAAACTATGTACTGAAAACTTAAAGTGCTTCTCAAAAGAAACAAAAAAGCAAAACATATGTTAAGAGAAGCAAAGGCATGTAAGTGAGTTTTGAGAAGTTTTTTTTATTTTTATTTTAGTTAATCTAGTCATGTAGACACAAAAGCATGCATTAATTTCTCAGCACGGTCATAAGATAAATTACATCTGACCTGAATAAACAGATGAGCAGCTTGCCTGAATGTAAACAGGTAACCCTGCCTAACCTGGTGTAAATCTGAAATAAAACACCCACCTTAATCCAGGGGTGCTCAAGGCTGTCATCGATTGTCATTCTCTTCCTGCAAAAGACAATAATCAACCAGTGAGAAACTGAGTTCAGATGTTCATATTTATTTCTCTTCTTCTGGCATATGTTCTGAAAAATGTTATACTTTGGATCCTTGACGAGCAGACGACGTATGAAGTCCTTGGCCAGCTCGCTGGTATTGCTGAAATATTCCTCATCAAAGTCGTAGTTAACAGCCGAGATGTTCGTCAGGGTCTCCTGCTTGGTCTCGCCCAAAAACGGCGAAGCACCACTCAACCTAATATTGACAGAGGTGTTGCTTGAGAGTGCATATGAAGGAGGAGTGATTTCTCTTCCTACAGTGACAACAGCTAGTCATGACCTGAAACATTACTCACAGAATGTATGTGATGACTCCGATGCTCCTGCAGAAAAGAGAAGACATGAATGAAAGCTGTCACACAGGTTAAAATGCAACTTTAGAAGGTTAAAATAAACACGTGGACATCTTACCACATGTCCGCCTCCAGTCCAAGTGGCTCATAGTTGACTATTTCTGGTGCTGTAAAACACAGAGGAATGAATACTTTAATTCAAAGCAGACGTGGAGATCTGAAATACACTACCATCCACTTACAAGGCTCAAATGACTTGCCAGCATGGGCACAAAAACTGATTTTGGATTTCCAGAGTGAAACATTTTAACCTTGTGAAACAAGATCTCACCAACAAACTCTGGCGTTCCGAAGATGTTCTTGAACTCGTTTCCTGCTTTGATCTGATGAGCGATTCCAAAGTCAATCAGTTTGATCCTGGGGTTGGGGACGTTCTTGTCCAGCAGCATAATATTCTCAGGCTTAATGATAAAACAGTGAGAGGAGCGGGTAATGTTTTAATTTAGTACACACCAAGTGCCAAGAAAGTACAAAAGGTGGTGCACAGTGGGGCTATCACAAGTAAGACTGATGAGAAAACAGTTTGTGGGCTTGAACAACAAAAAAAAGATACTAACATGCTGTGTATAGCTGAGATTGGGTAAAACACACAGTCATTAGATAAGAGCAGCTTTAGTTTTGAGTATTGGCCCAGAGCCTCAGAGACAAACCATCTTAAACACAGATTGCTGACCTTGAGGTCAAAGTGAGCAATGCGTTTGAGGTGGAGATACTGAACACCATCCAGAATCTGTTTGAGAAACTGGGTGGCCTCTTCCTCTGTCAGAGATTCCTTCTCAGCCAGGAAGTCAAACAGCTCTCCTCCGGACACCAGCTCCAGGATCAGGATCACGTCAGTTTTGTTTTCAAAGATGTCGTGCAGGGTGATGATGTTGCTGTGCTGGATCTCCCGCAGGATATTGACCTCACGTTCGATCTCTTCCCGACTCACCCCCCTCCGACTGGAGGACAGCCGCCGCTTCTTGATAAACTTGGCCGCATACTCAACGCCAGTGCTCTTCTCCTTACACTTACGGACGATGGCAAACTGTCCGCTACATGGAGGAGAGAACAAAAGGCTTAAAAAAACTACAATTTTCTGGCTTCTGCTCAGCATATTTAAGCTCTATCAAGACATCATCTGGGCTGTGAAAACTTGTGATCGGCAATGATCATTAGCAGACTGTAACGTCAATATGGACAAATTCTTTTGAATCCTAAAAACCTAATTTTGTTAAAGCAGCCACATAAAAATCTTCCAATACAGTGAGAATAGTTTAACCTGTTTCCAATAGAAATGAACTTGTTTCCACTTATCTCTAAAACTAAAGTGTCTGCAACAAGAAAGGCAGGCTAGTGGACTAGAATGACGCAAAATAAACTTGATGATTTTGTTCAATATTTGAAACAACTTGATCTACAAATGGAATAAACAAGTAGAAATATTCTTACTGCACTAGCAGGCTTTTTCACATTTTAAAAACAAAATACTTTAAAGACTCTTGGGGGAGGGTCCAGACCCTCAGGTTGGAAACCACTGGGCTGAGTGATGGGATAATGAAAATAAGTCGTAATCCATTTTTAATGAAAATGCCTGTTAGTTGTCTTAGCCGTAGTTGGACAAGATTAAAAACCAATGTGTGATGCAACACACAAATAGGCTCTACTATTGTAAGTACAGATAATGAAAACATACGTAGCTTATGGTTCATCAACAAAATGACTGAACAGCAAACAACAGATTCTGGTGTAAATGAAAATGTAAACATTACTGACAAGAACAATAAGACTAATCTGCAGGGGGGAAGAAATATTCCATAATGCATGACTGGGCGGCAAGTTGAATACTCTCCAATTTAATATCTGCATGCCTTTCTGTCTCAGCACAACACACACACACACACACATAGTGTCCTCTCCTACAAAGACACTCTAGTGGTGTACCACAGCAGCAGTGAACAGGCACACTGAGAGGCAGTGATGTCATGCTCTTGCTGCATTACTGCAGAAAAACAGTAGTGGAGGTAGAACGTGGAGTTTAACTAAAAACAATTTGATGACTCACTCTCAAACTATTAGGCACAGTGTAAAATGATACTAAGGATTTTACTGACATACACTTTTTGGACTTGTTCAGGTGTAGTTTTGGATGCACTGCAGTTCAGACCTGGCATTAAAATGCATCTGAACTACATCTCACAAAGCTTTGTGTGATCTGAATACACTTAATGCTCCCATTTGTTTTTATTTAAGGAAACCTACAAACCTAAATAATCAAAAACTACCCATGTGCGCCCTGCCATACGGCTAGAAAACATAACTGAGGAGGCTATGTGCCTTACAAACCTGTGTGATTTTCCATCACAAATGAAAAATAACTGCAATTCTATGCACATGAAACCAACTAAATACATAGTTTTCAATGCCGGCAGGTAGACATCTGTATTCACACAACATGTGACTCTCTGATGACAAGCACAGCATAAATAAGCAGATCCTAAAGCATCACACGTTTGAGCTGCATTCATACTTGCACTTAATGCTATTCTCTGTGCTAGGGCCAAGTGAGAACTGTGTATTTGTATGCAGGAGTATCAGACAGATGCTTTCTGATAGGATGTGTTTTGTCAGAGAAGAAGAAAAAAAAAAACAATAAATCTGCATCACATACCTGCCCAGCTCCTCTCCCATCTCATAATACAACTCGACATTCTCTTGCCTGAAGTTGGCCATGGTGTGCTGCCAGGAATGATGATGGAGGGATGGTGTTTGGTTCACTGCGGTGAAAAAGAGAAAAGACATAAATACATGCAGCGATTGTAGTCAATGTACTGTATAACATCCACAGCACAGTAACCAAAACAATGCCATGTAAGTAAGTGAAAATTATGATAAACATCTTACTTACAAGCAAGAATTACTTTTTCACCTACATGGCAGTTTACTCTTATTATTACCCTGGTGTCTGCTCCTTATTTGGCCTGAGTCAACAGTTTTAGCTTTCAGAGATTTTCAGGCTGATGTCAGACCACTGCATACCAGTCCCACTTACATCATCTCCTCCCTGGACCAACCATCACTGACTCAGTTAAAGGGACTATGAGCATTTACAGCTTCACTCATTAAAACCTTAAGTAACGTAACTGATCTTTAGAAAACACCATTACAACGAAACTATTTCAGATTGTAGCTAATAACGCTGCTGAAATAGTGTCTCTGCTGTCGGTGTTTATGTTAACAAGGGGTTTACTGTCGGTGTTTATGTTAACAGGGGGTTTATAGTTACTAAAAAAAAAAAAAAAAAAAAAAAAAACAGGATAAAGGTTAAGCTTGTCACAAACTTTAAAGGGATTTTGTGCCAGAGGTGTAACCTCTTACCTTGTTCAAAGCTGAATAAATACAAACAAATCTAAAGGAATAAATAAAGGTAATCCCAGCGACGGAAGACAGCTAGCATAGCTGGTTAACTAGCTATCGTTAACTATAAGAAAGTATTACTTCACTTGGGGACATACAGAATTAATAACACTCACATACTCACAGCAAGGTACATATTTAACCAGTAAAATGGGAAGGCGATACTATAGCTACTACTTACAGTACGGTTGACTACAAGTGCCGCATTCCTCGCTATAGTAGTTTCGTGTGAATTAGCAGAGTAGAGTCAAGCTAGCAGCAATGAAACAATAAAACTTCCGGTCTTGAGATTCAAAGTAGACGTCTTGCTAACTTATGACCAGTCTTCCGTGTGTGAAAAGAGCTAGGTAGCTTACAATGCTAGAAGTGAAGTGCTTCTATATAGAAAACAAGTGTTCACTGATTTTCTTTGTAGAATCCGAACAGAAAGACATTAAGAGTACCTTTCAGTCGCAAAGTGAAGAATAAACACACATACATACACACGCACAACTTAACCCTTTTATTCTGAATGTTAAAATCGCCTAAGTTCCCGTGTTGATGTTTCTCGATGCAGATAAATATCCGGCAGAAGGACGGACATATGGAATGACTTCATGCTGAGTGAACCAACCGACTACAGTATCTTAGTGCATAACAAGATCAAGCATGTACCAGTAGAGATTAAAGAAAGACTGAAGTAATTCTGAGATATTACGGTCACTTCAAAGCAACACTAATTTATCTCGACAGATAAATTGGATCGTTGTGCTTGTGATTTAGTGTGTTTAATCTAAAGCTGCTCCAATGAACCCTACTCAACATTAACGGAATCCATATAGAAGTATTAGGTGCAGGCTATAATTTATGTTCGAAAATCCTCTTTATGAAATGTGTCACATTGTCACTGTAATTATAGCTTACTGAACAGACTCCAGTAACCTATAATTGCTAATTAATATAGTCTGATACTTTTTCAACCATTGCTGATACATGTAGGTTGTCATCCTTGAGACAGGGAGGCGCTTTTGTGTTGTCCTTGGTGGTTTAGTGGTTAGGATTCGGTGATCCCACCCCGGGTTTGATTCTCAGTCAGGGAACTTGCTTGTGGGACTGTTGGGTCTATGAAGAGCTTCAAACTGACGCAGGACACGTGATTGCCACTTCACAACAACAGCCCTTTTTCACAGTAGACATTTTACATGTCATAGTAAGAAAAGCACAGGTGTAATTGATAATTCTCATCAGGATCAGGGTATTGCACATGCTTGCTGAGCGGCATTGTTTAGTGGAACACTTAATTGAACTCAGCCATCGTTAATGTCCATAGTTACATCAAACAAACTGTGACCTCAGTTATAAACTTACATTTAAATTAACACCCCTCAGTAAGTTTTAATAAAAGCTGTGAAAGATGAAAGATACAATGAAGTAAGTAGCGGGGACTTTGCTTCACTGTGAAGCTGTACTGACATGGAGAGCCAGCTATTCCTAGAAGAAGCTGCCTGACCAAGGATACAACCCTGACCCTAGTGGTGAGTGCTGAATCCTTTTCATTCTACTGCCCCCAAGAACTGCAGTATTTTCTGAGTCAGTTTCAGAGCTGTGGGGTTACATACAAAGTATTTGAAATGAACAGACCTGTGCACTGTATACAAGAATCTATTTCCTGCTTAAAGACGTTTTAGCTGAACAAAGCAAAAACTACCATTGATTACCAGTTATACTGGAGTCTCTCCGATAGGCTATAATTACAGTGAAAATAGTGGGTTAGAGTTGGAAAGATGAGCCTTATTATTCCTGGTTGCAGGGAGTGAGCATGCTGGAAATAACCTAGCATCTTGTAAATTGTTGCATAGCACAGTCCTTCAGATATGCAATTAAACTCTCATGGGCATCCACCTGAGTGATCTCGATCAATCAATCATCATAGTAGTACCTTTCAGTATTATATTATGCTTTTATAATAGCGTCATAACAGTGTAATGCTGCACTGTGACTTTTTTTTATCTTGGTTTGCATCGGTTTAGTATCAAGACTTTTGTCAGTTTGATTGGCTTTTACTTTAACCAATCAGAGACGTGTTTGCTCATTCGTGCGATCATAGCCAATTAAAAAACCCACGCCGCTAAATGGGCGTGGCTTGTTGAAACAGCCGGCGAGGGGTAGGGCTCGAGTCGAGCGTTCGTTTGGTGCTTGATGGGGGAGACAACCAGAAACTGGGCATCATGAGAGTCACTGAAACGCTGGTTTGGGCTGCTTTTTTCATACACAAGGTGAGAGGGACCTCTCTCTTTTTCGAAAACGGTTTCTGTGTGCGTCTGCGTCGCATAGCAACACGTGGTTGACAAAATCAGGCTGTGTTTTTTCCTGACAGTATCCCGGGAGCATTAGCTTGGATGCTATTACTGTTAGCTTGCGGTGATCCCCATGGGCCCTGGAAACCCACACACCATTCACCTCTAGCCACATGTTACATTAACGAAACGGGACTAGTACTGGTTCACCACATCACTGAAGCACAGTATTTGTGACTGAATGTATTTTACTAGCAACTAGCAAACAGAGGGTCCAGAAATGTTGACGTAAGTTAGCTGTCAGCTCACATTATGCTACGTTACTGCACAGAAAATACATGGCAACGCGTCTGAAATTTGCGACTTGATGGTAAAATATTTCGCTGCTGCTGGTTATGTCACTGCCTGGAATATTGAAACCAATTGTACTTTCATTAATGTAACATTACTCCCATTAATTATAGTACAGTTAACGTTTCAAATGAATTTAGTGTTTAGGGCCATTTACTGCAATCACGCTTTAAATAAACAGTCATCCTTTGTTGGCCTTCTTTAACGCATGTTGAACTAACTAAGCACACAGTAGCCTTACAGTTAACGTTTCAAATGAATTTAGTCTTTAGGGTTAAATAAACAGTCATCCTTTGTTGACCTTCTTTAACGCATGTTGCACTAACTAAGCACACAGTAGCAAATGTAACCTCAGTGTGATCTCTTTCTAGTAAGGTGTCAATTTTAAGCTCACAGTTAACCAAGTCGTAGTTAATTATGACTGAAGCGACGGGACTCTAACTACCGCAGTGTAATAATTGTGAATAGTACCGCTACTTGCACCAGTTATATAGCTCGAAATGTGTATAATGTATAACGTATAAATAATCAGTATAAATATTACCTCTCCTTCTCCAACCCTCCCCCTGCCTTTGATTGCACAGTTCTGTTGTCTATTCTCTGTTGCCTAAAACACACTGAGAGCCTCTGTGCCTTGTAAGCTCAACATACTTGGCGACTAAAGCTGATTGTGAGCTTACTGGCTTCATTGTTATTAGATTATTAATCAAACTACTTATAATCAGTTAATAAAAACTTTTGGTTTTTCAAGTTTTGGAAAATCTTCCTTCAGCAAGATACTTTGCTTGACATTCAAGCTAGGCTAACTCCTTTCCAGTGGATGTGGCACTGTAGACATGGTATAACCATTTAACTTTTACATAGACAAGCTGTGGCTCTGTGCGCAGAACATAACTCAATTCAACTCAACTCAACTTTATTTATATAGCGCTTTACCACAGCACAGCTGACCAAAGCACTTAACATAACATGGTACAGATGTAGAGAGAACAATACAGTATGTGAGAAATGTTGATGGCAAGAGCTGTTTAATTTAATAAGTTCTTGTGTTTAAAGAGTATCATGTTTAAATAAAGTAATAACATGGTTATGTGTTTCTAATTAGTAATAATGCGCTTATAATTTTGGGAAGTCATTATTAGAAAGTACTTAGGATTTCACACTTTATAGTCATGTCGGCATGACTTTAATAAAGCAAATGTGGGTTTGGGTTTCTGATGAGCCATTGGCAGATGTTATTTGACCCGTGAGGTGTACAGGTCCTCCATGGAGGGCAGGCTTGCACCAGTGACCAAATAATTTATCGGAACAGACTATTTAATAAACTACACAGCTAAAAAGGACAACTGTCAGAAAAGCACTAAAAGATTGTCATCTTAATTGATAATGAAATGTTAGTTGCAGCCCTCTTTAAGTATTTGGAGGTCATTATTCTCAATTTAAAACATTACACCTTGGATTGGTGTGTGTTGTAGTTCCAGAAACTGATTAAAATACAATACCTAACTAAAATACACATACTCATTAGAACACACACTAATTTATTCCAATTTATTCGTTCAGAATGCTTTGACTTCCAAATGTCAGTATTGTCTTAGTTCCAAAAAGGCCAAGATACACACTTTCTGGAAGTAAGGTTCATATTTATGCTACTAACATTGTTGTCATGTTGACAGGTGATAGGAGAGTATGGCATGGCCCATTTCAGTGACAAGAGCAAAGGAAAGGATTACTGCATATTCTTCAACTCACAGTGGGCACGTCTACCTCAGGACCTCAATAAGGATATATTTGTACTGAAGTGCCTCCAAAATCTTGAATTGTTACAGTTCTGTGCCTTCATTTTTCTATAAAAAAACAAGGTCTATGTCTTATGTCTAGGACTTTACCTGAATAAGGATTTTATCAGTCTGTCAGTCAACTCCTCAGTGCAACTATTCAACTATTTGTTCTTTTTCTTTTTTTAATATATATGAAATGGCATGAATTTCAGTGATGATTTCAGCCACATTTACATCTGTATTTAAATGCAAAAGAGTGGCAGGAACATACAGTATTTCTGAGCATTTAAAAATCAATAAAAGACAACTGCATATGATGTGATAGTTAACGTAAGCATTATCATAATGACAATTTTAAAAAAATCTAATGGCTTCATTGATTAACAGAGCAATGATGCTGACCTCCAGTTTGCACTGATGGGGAAGCTGATCAATGCAGTCAATCTTTTACAGGAAGCCTCATTCAGGATGTTGAAATCTGATCCCCACTTAGTGGCTCTTTGGACTCCTGCAGCTGCTTTCTGAACAAATGTTAGTGATCATATAGACACATATAGAATATAATAAGTTGCAGTAATTTACTCAAGAAGAAACTATTGCATGAATTACAGTTTCTAGATTATTAGTAGTTCAAACCTATTTCATTATTTTGGACATAATAATGGAACAAAACCCCTAAAATAGTCTTGAGCAAGTCTTTAGCTCAAGGCTTTTTAAAATGCAGAACTCATTTCCTACATCAGTTATCAAGGATCAGACTGCATGTCCAATGACTCCAGTCTTTCAAGTGAGATTGTTTTTGACATTGATGGTCCAGCTCATTTCCTATTTCTCTTAAACGAATCATAACTACTATATTGAGATTGAAACACCTAATAACTGTCATCTGTAAGAAATTGGTTTCTATTTGTACTTAGGCATTAAATTGCAACAGAATTCCTCCAGACTGTGTTTAATATTGCAAACCTTTCTGTCTTGTAGTCACGTCTCCAGATCTATGACCTGACAACATCAGTCCTGTGCTCGCCCACCGAGGTCCCAGAGGGAGGCTTCCCAAATTGTATCCCCATGGTGATGAGAGGCAACTGCAGGTTTTATGAAAAGGTCCGATTGGCCCAGATTAATGGCGCCAAGGGCCTGCTCATTGTCAGCAAGGACAGACTGGTGAGGTTATTGCTTGTACTGATTGTATATTAAGGTAAAATTGATTTTGGCACTTCAGAAATACATGCTTTTTTAAATTACAGATACCACCACTAGGAAACAAGACCGAGTATGAGGAGATTGACATTCCTGTAGCACTGCTCAGCTATTCTGATATGCTGGACATCAGCAAGGTGAGAAATTGACCAACAGCCATTGAAACAGTAGACACAAAACCACTGGTTAGCTTTGGTTCTTACTCAGTTTTCTTTTTCATGTTAGTTCAACAAAGTTAATAACTCTTAATATTTTACAGTCTGACTGCTAAGGAAGACAGGTATTTAACTCCACACGGTTCATTCATGTAGCAGACAAAATTACTCAAGAGGTCTTTGCAAACAAATCTGTTTGATGGGAATTTGCAGTCTTCAGCAGTTTTTCCCGTGTACCCAGAATCTGTCATCTAGATCTGAGTGAATGTTGTTTCTGACACCTGCAGACCTTTGATAAAGGAAGACTAGTTGCCATGTATGCACCCAATGAGCCGGTGTTGGACTACAACATGGTGATCATCTTCTTAATGGCAGTAGGAACGGTTGCCATTGGAGGTTACTGGGCTGGCAGCAGAGACAGCAAGAAGTAAGTGGACATGATGGAGGAACTGAGTTGGGAACTGACAGTACAGGTTATCATTCCATGATTCTGTTTGAGTGTTACCTATACACTGATCAGCCATGAGATTATGACCACTGAAGAGTGAAGTGAATAACACTGATTATCTCGTTACAATGGGACCTGTCAGTGTCTGGGGTAGAGACTACAAGTCTATGAGTACTCAGTTTTTCTCTTTTAAACTGAAGCAGTCTGCATTGTACTCTTGCAACTCCACTAAAAGCCGGTGTTGGTTATTTGAGGCTACATGAGTGACTCATCAGCTTAAGCCAATTTGAGTCCATCCTTCCTGAAGGAGTTACCAAGGTGATGGAGGGCACAGGCAGATGGGGTCTCTGACACAGAGCCACAGGGAAAAAGTGTGTGTGAACCTGTGGTTCAGTGGGTAGAGCAGTCATCTCCCAATTGGAGGGTCGGAGGTTCGAATCTCGGCCCCTGTAGTCCACACGTCAAAGTGTCCTTGGGCAAGACACTGAACCCCCAAGTTGCCCCCGATGGTTAGAGCCATTGGTTGAGTTGGCGCCGCAGATGGCTGCCTTGGTTCTGTACCGGAAACAAGTTCCTTGTGTGTAACATACTTGGCCAAATAAAGGTGATTATGATTATTATTATAATATTGACTGGGGATAGTAGGATGGTCCTGGCTGCTTTGAGAACTCACCAAAAATCGCCACCGTAGATTGTTTTGCTGAGTATGGTTTTCATAAACAGAGGAGGCTGCTTGTTATGAACATGCTCCTAGCATCCCAGACACTGACTTTTGTTTCTGCTCCTGCAGACGCTACATGAAGCACAAGCGGGACGACAGTGCAGAGAAGCAGGATGAAGAGACAGTGGACGTCACCCCCATCATGATCTTGGTGTTCGTTGTCATGTGCTGCAGCATGCTGGTGCTACTCTACTTTTACTATGACCGCTTGGGTATGACATACACACACACACACACACACACACATACATACATACAGCATCATAGATCTGCACACAAAACACCCTCTTTTGGTCTTGCTTGGAGATGCTCCTTCATAATTAAGAAAAAGGCTCTTTGTTCAGATCCATTTTTGTGTCTGCCCAGTTTTTACTGCTCTGTTTGAGATAGTTATCATTTTAAAGTCTTGTCTTTAACGTTTCCCCTCACTTGCCATGTTCTGGCAGTGCTCAAAGGGAATTTGTTTGGGATTCAGGCTGTGCAGAAGATGACCAACAATGTTTTCCTAGAGTGAAAATAATCAACTCAAGATCCATTTGCTAACTTTCTCAGAGCTTTCAGCCACATTTCCACACTTATGTTTTCCTTGACAAAGATAATTAGCTGGATAAATGCAGTGTTTAATTGGTTGTCATCTGTCTTTTGTTCTAATTTTCAAGTTATACCAATATGGTGGATGTTTTGAAAATGTCATTTAAAAGTTGTCTCAGGATACTAGAATTAAAGAAGGCAATTGCAGAAAAATGCATTTGTTTTGTAGAATACGAGGGGGTATCACGTAATAATATGCATTGATCTTGTTGTCTTGCACCGTTTCCTCACTGCGTAGCCATTTGGGTCATTGCCATCTTCTGTGTGGCTTCCTCTGTCGGACTCTACAGCTGTCTCTGGCCTTTTGTCAGGAGGCTTCCTTTCTGCAAGTGCAGGTGAGACAGCTCACATGAGTATGATTTCATGATGGCTACATAAAACTTTACTGTCAGCACTTACGTGATCAAAGGTGTTTTGGTCCAAATGTGTAATTAGACATAATTATTGAATGTGAACAGCTAGCCTGAAAAAAGAATTCCCTGTACACTGGAGATAGGACAGATGTTTGGTGGAAACTGAGTCAGTTTTATTGAAAGAAAATAGATTCATTGTGGCTACATTTGATTTGTGGACCATCATGTAATCACAGGATCCCAGAGAACAACCTGCCATACTTTAACAAGCAGCCACAGATCCGCATGTTGCTGCTGTCAGCCCTGTGCATCGGAGTCAGCATCACCTGGATGGTGTTTCGCAATGAAGACCAGTAAGTACAAAGAGAATGTGTTCACTCTTCTACAAACACACAGATGTTAGAAAGGTGTAAATGCAACCATCCCTCCAAGATGTAGAAGTAATCTTTGTTCCCCCCAGTGTAACTAGGTCAGCAGTTAGTGGAAACTGTCACTCACTGTCTTTTTTTGTTTGTTTTTGTAAGCCCTGAAATACATCCATTGGCTGTCTCCTCAAGTTACATTAAATTACACAACCCATTTATAGTTTTCCATCATCAATGCAACAAAGAAAGGTAGCTCCACTGATTTCTATACATTCAGTAGTATATGTGGCAAAGTGTAACTGAAATGTCTCAGTTCAATTTGTATTAGAAAAGGATCATACGTTTGCCTATATCCAAGAATTTTAGTCTAAGAGCACATGTGGGTGTTTGCTCATAGTGTGTCAGGTGACACAAGGATATTTTTGTGTGTGTGATAACATGTTGGAGGTACAATAAGTCATGATGTGTGGGCTGACTCACACTCTTCTGTGTCCTCCAGGTGGGCGTGGGTGTTGCAGGACGCCCTGGGGATCGCCTTCTGTCTCTACATGCTGAAAACAGTCAGACTGCCCACATTCAAGGTGGATCATCACTCAGATATAATTATAACAATGTGAAAAGTTATAATTTTAAGGTTTGAATTATTTTGCTGAGTAATGAATGTTTTACTGTATCCTCTGCAGGGTTGCACTTTACTGCTGACGGTACTTTTTGTCTATGACGTTTTCTTCGTATTTATAACACCCTTACTTACAAAGGTATGTTGAGACAGTCTTCCCTCAGGGCTGTTCAATTGTTTACTTTCTTTGTTACCGTCATGCTAATGTCAGCCATGGCCTTTTCGCCACAGAGTGGGAAAAGTATAATGGTGGAGGTAGCGGCTGGTCCCTCTGACTCCTCCCCACATGAAAAGGTGAGCTTGTTTTCAAATTTCATGACTTCCTTAAGGTGGGGTGGGGTTTAGTCTTGTTACACAAATTCCTGCTAGCCTAGCTTCAAATGCCCCTCTCAGCTCGGATGAAAAGACGGTAATGGTAACACTAATGGTTGTGTTTTCTCCAGCTCCCCATGGTGCTCAAAGTGCCCAGGTTAAACTTCTCTCCAATGGCTCTGTGTGATCGGCCCTTCTCCCTCCTGGGCTTCGGTGATATCTTGGTACCAGGTACATAAATGTGTCACTCACCCTATTTAGTCTTTCTTAGAGCATGAAGTAATGGCTGTATATGTAATGCTTTATAATTACATACCTGCAGAGTTGGAAAGTAAACATTTGAATGCAGGACTTTTACTTGTAAGCATTTTTACACTGTGGTATTGCTACTCAGGGCTGCAACTGATTATTTTAATAATCAAGTCTGATTATATCTTTGACTAATCAGATGTATAAAAAAACATGCAGAAATCCATTTTCCACATAAAAATAAATGCATACTTTTGCACTGTTTCTATGCGGTGCATCATTAAACAAAATAAATCAAGAATAGACTGTTTAAAGTACACTATTTCCTTAGTGTTAACAAAAAAAGTTTGATTTCAAATTTATATTTTCATAAAATCTATCATGCCACGGTAAAGAGCCGGTAGGCTACACACAACCATTGTCTGAGTGTGGTTGAATGCAGCAGCTACCCTTGTTCTAAACGTCTGTTTCTCCCTTCAGGTCTGCTGGTGGCCTATTGTAATAGGTTTGACATTTTAACACAGTCCTCCAGGATCTACTTTGTGGCCTGTACTATTGGTACGTACATGGACAAGAGGGATAGTGAAGCTTATAATTGGTGAGATGTTGTAGTGTTGTGATAACATCCAGCAGTAATGGGGCTTGATATGTTTGCTGGACATGACTAGACTCTGAAAATGCTGACCCTGTGTGTGCTGTGTTTCTGCCCTGTCAGCGTACGGTATCGGCCTGCTGATCACCTTCGTGGCCCTGGCCGTGATGCAGAGGGGCCAGCCAGCCTTGCTCTACCTGGTGCCTTGCACTCTGCTCACTAGCCTTGTTGTAGCGCTGTGTCGAAGGGAGCTGCCCCAGTTCTGGACTGGAAGTGGATTTGTGGTGAATACCAGTTTGATATGACTGCCTACTGCCGAAGAAGAAAAAGACTTAGGCGACAAAAGAAAACAAAACTGTCTAGAGTTAAATAACATGCAGAATAAAGTAGAATTTCAAGTTGAGTAATCCCTTTAAATAACTCCATTCGTTCCCACTGCCTCTTCCTCTTTTACTGTCTTCCCCCCTACCCTCATCACTGCTCCTTGCCCTTTATTTTACTGTGGGTGTGCTCTAGTCTGCTGCTGAGGGCTCAGCTGCCTGTGAATGTCACTGCAGGTATTGGATTTGGGCTTGCTACTATACACTTTACCCTAAAGCCTACTTAAGGTTCCCTTTTATTGTTGTTTTCCCTTAAGATTAGTATTTTTTTTTTTCTGTGATAGACTGACGTCTATCATGAAGCAACATGGGTAACTACAACAGTAGAAATTAGTAGTAGTGCTGATGGTGATTATTCTTTACATACTGTAGCTTTGGTTAGCATGTGTTACCCGTCTAGTTTAATGGGCCCTGTGGGATTTTCTTTGGTTTCTTTAGTTGATGCCTGTCTGGGACTTCTGTCCACACATACAGTACAAGAACCCCTCTGACACCAACATTAAGGACACAAGTATCTCATCTTGATTTAGCTCAAATTAAGATGAGGAAAAAAAAAATGTTCAGAGTACTGGCTGTATTTTCATGGTTCTTCTTCTTCAGCTCTTCTGTATCTGTTTCTTATAACTACATTTAGTTTTCAGCCCGATACATTTGTCACCTCATACTGACTTTTTTTTTTAAAATCCCCTGCAGCCTCCCATAGTGCTTGCACCGATCAACTGTACACAAACTGCAGCGCCACAAACGGAGGGACCCTCGACTAAATTGGAGCCAGAAACCACAGAAGCCACCAGTCAGAGTGAAGATTGGCCCCAGCACCCGCCTCAGGAAACACTTCAGGCTGAGAAAGACGAGGATGAAAATAAATCTAATTGAAAGGACTTTTAGTACGGTATTTTCCATTTCACTTCATGTTTTGTTTGGTGCCAAGTTCTTTTCTACATTGTCTCAGTCAATGGACATTATAATTACAGATTTTTTTTTTTTTTTTTGCATTTAGTGCAAAGAGAAGCGCACAGATGTGTGTGTGTGTGTGTGTGTTCTAAATGGCTGGCTCAGCAGGGTACCAGGAACACATGAAGCATTGAAACTAACAAATACACCCAACGTAATGCAGAGTCTGTGCCACTTGTAAAAGGGAATGAGAAGGCAAATCCACTCAAGCTTTTGAACACCAAGTAATCACATTACACTCAGTTGAGACTTTCAAAGGCCTGGTCACACCGCTGCTTAAAGCTGCAAAATGAGTTAATCAATTAGCAGGCAGCTACAAGTTGGATCAACCAATTGGCAAGCAGAATGTGTAGCTCCACGCAACATGTAATTAGATTTGGGGAGGTGTGCACCTTGGCCCGTCTGACCTATATTTACCCAGAAACCACCTTCACTGCCTACACTCAGTTCTGGACAAGTATAAATGGTGCTTTTGCAGTTTGCTTCATTCATTTTAGTTAGCCTCCTCAGAGTATAACACGTTCCATAAAAGAAGAATGATTTGCAGACGGTTAGTTATAGCTGCATTAGATGACAGAAAATAGCTTTAGTAGTTTTTATTCCCCCAGCAGAAATGCCAAAAATTTGCATGTCAAATGTGAGGATTTGAAGCTATTCTATCATATCAAAGTAAACAAATCTTTTACATAGGTGAACTAAACATGTAAAAGAGGTCAGCTTGGGCTGTAGCAATATCTCTATAACCAGCAATAAAGGTTTACAGTTTACACTGAGCTACTCTGGTCTGACGGCGAGTCCATCCAGACCCAGCCCACACCTCGTATTAGGAATGCAATGATACAATGTAATGAAGTTTGAGTCCTGCTAAAAAAAAAAAAAAAAGTTTTATACTCAAACTGTTAGCTTTGTAGAATAGAGTATTTGGAGATCGTCACAATCGTTTCTCTGTTTGACATCGTTGTCACGGCAACATTGACAGTAGGGGAGTGTATGACGTTTAATGTCAACAAGTGACAGAGCTCACGGCACTCATTCAAAATTAGTGAGTTAGCTAGCAGCTAACAGGCATTCACGTTCTGTCCTGGGGGCACGAGAAAGCGAGTCTTTGGCATCCTGTGTCAGTATCATTATGTCACCAGTGTGGTAATGATGTCAATATCCAAATGTGCAAAGAAAAGAAGGTTTGGCCAAGAAAACTGAGTTTTAAAAGATGAGTGGACAGAGAAATGTGCCCCAATCCAGCACAAGGCCCTTGAATGGTAACACTAACAAATTAAATGTCGTACAAATCAGAACAAAATACTACACAGGGGTAAACTGCAAAATGGAAAGACACTTGGAGATCAGCTGTGACAGACTAATGCTAGTACAGTGTGTTTTGAGCTGGCTAGTGTGTTAGTGGTTAGCTTGTCAATTAGCTGTGCAATTTGTGCCACTTTCTGGTGTGACTGGCCTTTAAGAGTCTCAATATTCTGTCAAGGCTCCGATTCAAGTGTCCTAAAAGTGGAGAAGCTTTCAAGCACTTAATTCAGAGTACACCGAGGCCTGTGTTTCCAAAAGCACACAAAGAGCCATACTAGTAGAGATGTCCCGATCCAATACATATTGGTGCTGATCTGGCCATATTTAATAAGAAGTTTTTGTTTTTTTTAATTGTCATTGTGACACGTACAATGGAATTATGTTTGGAGCCGAGGGCCCCGGGCCACTGCGTGCATACGTGCCGCCATCATATTTCACAGGATTGGTCAAAATAAAGCTGATCTAATTCTGATCTTTATTTAGAACTAAACTATGCACTATGTGCATAAAATGCTTCGCAGAATCCGCCAAACAATGAAAGCTCACTAGTTACAACCAGAATTCTGTGAAATGGAGAAATACATCAAGCAAAAAGTTAACTCATTGATCCGTTTCATCAACGCTACTGAACATGGTAGTTCTTTTAAAGTGTCATTTCTATTTGCTGGGTTTTACCATGGGTTGGATGGCCTGTAGTCTGTATACATGCAGGGGCAGTTCTGAGACTGTTGTCCAACTCGGTTATTCTTTTATTCGTATCAGTAATTTAATAATGTCTATTTTGGAACCACGACTCGATCATATATTTGGATCGAGAAGCTCCTGAAAAATAAAGTGCCAGATTAATTTTGATATGTTGGATATTTAATGTAGCTAAATAAGTGTCAGCTCAGAATCAGCAAATACTTACTATTAAAGTAATCGGATCAGTATTGGGGCCAAAACACTGGATCGGGACATCTCCAGATATTGGTCATCTTTATCCCACTGTTAGATTATAAATTACACTAGTGTCACAGGATTTCATACCCTTTAAAATGTGATGCTGATTTGGTTGCTGACTGAGCCAAAGCCACTAGATTTTTATTTTTAATCAAATAATCTGTTGATGCGTTTATCATCCTTTTGGATTTTTTAAAAACATTTTTTTATTTTGCATGTTATGATTTTGATAAACCCAGTGTTTAAAGTGTACAATGTCTAAAGTGCAGACATTGTATACATTATTGGTGGCACTACATTTTAAAAACTTTCCCCCCTGTGTAGTTAGTCTTGTCCTAAATAGCTTTGGCCTTACAGTGATCATGTTGGGAGGTACTATAGAATGTGTCACGTGCAAAAGTTGCTTAATGAACAACACTAGTACTGTACTCGGAATGATTATGTGCTGCAGTTTAATGTGCAAGCTGAGGAGCGAGTGATGGGTTGTGTTGCAGTGTTTCTAGATTAGTTTGTATGATGTATTTGCACAGTATCTTAATTCATGGGCCGACAAATGGTTGGTTCATGTCTGTATATATTAATGTATACTCATAAGGGTTTAAAGAAATATTAATGCTGCTTTTGTTTTGCAAGTTCATATCACCAGAGCCAAGCTGTCACTTCACTCTGTACACCAGTAGGGGCATATTTCTGATTCTCATTTAAGTTCTGTATAAAACTTGAGGTAGAAATAACTGAATCAGAGTGTGAATGAGCAGCTTGGCTGTTTGGATGTGTGCCCTTGCTGATTCAGTTGCACAGTGTTTTTCTAGGACAAGATTATTGGGGGGTGTAATGATTCTCCAAATCCACAGTTCATTTCAGATTTCTGAGCCACGGGGGGAATACTAAGAGGAATAATACTAACTTTAAATAGAGTAAGATTACTATGTTATGGTGCAGGGTCAGGTTGCTTAGGGGTTTGTTGGAGGGTTGGGGGTTGCGCTTCGTTTGGTATCGCAGTTTGTGTACTGTATCAAGGTTTTGGGTTTCAGTTCAGAATCATTACACCCCAACAGACTATTCATGTGCCAGTAAAGTTTGTCACCAAGTGGTTTTTAATGCCTCTGTCGAGGAATACATATAATAAAAAAAAAACCAATGTACTGGATTTTTGGTGCCTGCCTTTGGTTGTTGCATAATTTTAAAATTAGAAGTCTAGTTTGCAGGTATGATTGTTTGAACAGCCTAGAGAGAGTTCAACAGCTTCACTCAGGATGCCGACTGCGCTAGTACTTGGATATGTTGACGTCTAACATAAATCAGCCTCTTGCAGGGTTTTTGAGTGTGAATACATCTTTTCATCGTGGCCCTCCAGCTGTGAAAAGGCCCTCTGCTGCTCAGGCTCTGCAGAAATGAACAGCAGTCTGACAAAGAGCTTCTTGTCGCTTCAGCTCAGTCACTCAAAGTAGAGCACAGTGAGTGTCTATTTACTCTGGATCACTTAACAACTAGCGCGCTGTTTGTCGGATCAGTTTGCACAGCACTGTGTGCACCTACAGTTATTGGGGATTGGAATTTCACAAGTCTGCAATTTCCTAGTAATTTTCTGGAGAGAACCATGTAGTTTGAAGATAATTACAGGAAGAAATCAAAAGACAAGACTAATTAGTACCAAATTAACCCTTTAAAGATCACCCTTTAATTACAGTGTTCTACTACGTTTTAATGTTGGACCTATATGGGTTTTAAGGGCACAGAATATCTTTCACAGTATAAAACCTTTGAAAAACAAATCCT